TCTTAGTTATTTGAAATTCTTCAGTTCATCATGACCTTGCACAAGTTGCCCTCTGCTTCTCAATTTAAACTGACTGGGTTATTGCTGAAGTCTTTATTTTATACACTTTTTTTTTACATATGCATTGGATATATGAAAACTCTCATTCATCAGATAGTCAGTATAAAAATTTAGTGTAAAATGCTCATCAAAATTTATGTCTAGTATCTGGTATCAGGTATCAGGATTTTGTTATCATTGGCTTATTCTAATATTCTTATTTTTATTAGATATTCTATTAAAGCTTTAACTTCAGTGAAATCTCCTTGATGTCTTATCAATTCCACTATCATTTCTTTACTGTGCCTTTGTATTTCACTCCTTGTTTTCCAGTTTTCAGACTGTTCATCACTCAGTGTTCTGAGAGGAGATAAAACCTACAGAAGAGGCTTTCCATTTTATCTATAATAGCTATATCAAATGCACAAAAGGGATCACAGAGCATTCTTTCAATAAAAGCCATTCCTATTGTATTAAATTATTTATGAAATCTATAGCTCTTAAAAATACAGAAAGCTTTATAAAAAAGCTTTATGTTATAAAATTGCTGTGAGAAACAATTGACTACCTTATTTAGAGCAGACATTAGTGAATTATAAAATAAATACAAATGCATTTAAGATAAAGCCAACATTTTCTATGTTCTTTAAGATACTGACATCTGTTTTTCTGCTGTGGGTTCTTGATTAAGATAAGAGTGTTTTCTATCAACTGAAGAGAATTTTTTACTTCCTTAATTCAGACAGCTAATTAAAAGGGCACTTGCAGGCATCTGATTCCCTTGTAAAAATGATCATGAGGAAATTATTTATCACTTCTGGCTTAAAATTATGTTTTAATTTTTTTTGCAGGTTACAGCCTCCCAGCTCTCTGCATCCAGTAACAAGTGTTCAATCCTGATTCTAGCAGACGGTGAGAATGAAAAAAGCAAGTGGGTGGGTGTGCTGAATGAGTTGCATAGGATCTTGAAGAAGAACAAACTCAAAGACCGCTCAGTCTACGTTCCCAAAGAAGCTTATGACAGCACCTTGCCCCTCATCAAAACAACACAGTCAGCAGCAATCATAGGTAGGAAATTATTAAGAAGAAAGTTCTAACAAAAATGGGTATGCTAAAAGCATGGTTTTCTGGGGAAAAAAATGTGTTAGACAGTTATCTGCTGAATAGAGAATAATATGTAGTGGTTTTATCCCATATGGAAATGTGTATGGGCCTAAGAGAAAAGTGCAAGTTATTACCCAGCACTTTTGTCAGATCTTTTAAGAGTATTCCCTCTATTCACCCAAATTCATAACCACAAATAATCCACCCATATTCATAATTATTCATCAATATTCATAATTATTAATACTTTTGACTGAGAATTGGACATTTCTCTTCTGTTACTCTGTAAACATAATTCCCTAACTGGGCAAAATTAGTGCTGTAGAGTAGGTGTAAGTCACTCACTTCAAAATCTACTGGTGGGACTACTGAGAAAATGTAAAATCAGAGATTGAAATTAGTAATTCCAAATACTACTGCATAAAATATGTTAAACTCTGATTATTTAAATTATTTCAATTTAATAATATAGTTATTTCAAAGCTGGTGCTAGCCTTAAGTTCTCTGAAAAGTTTGTTAAAAATTATGTTTCTAGCTGTTACTTTAACTGACAGGAGAAATGGGAAAAGACTTCTTTTTTCAGAAATTTGAAAGATTGGGAGGTTGCCATTTTTTTTTATGCATGAATATATTAGGTTTGGCTTTATATACAGTTATTTCAATATAGTATAAAAACTGTCTCTGTTAATGAGAATTATCACTATTGCTGAAGAGATTCATAAAGTACTTCCAAGGAAAAATAATCCTTTTTTTTTTTTTCCTTAATGTCATAGACCATGAAAGAATAGCTCTGGGGAATGAAGAAGGGTTGTTTGTTGTGCATGTCACCAAAGATGGTAAGAAACTAGAAACTGGTAATAATTTCCCTAATACTAACTCATGTTTTTCTTATTCAGTATCTTCTGTTTTCATTTCTCATGATTTACTACATTATCAGCTGGACAGCATCATGAGAGACCAGAAGGTGTTCTATGTGCTTTCTGGTTTGGGTATCCATTCCAATAACAAAAATACAGCTTTTGGAATGCAGTTGAAGGTTTTTTTCCCCATTGGAAACTGGCTCAATACTGATTTCAGACCAGGTTGCTCAGGGCTTTATCCAGTTGGGTGTGAAATCCCCAAGGACACAGGTTCCATGATCTCTCTGGACTGCCTGTTGCAAATTACTCTCACAGTGAAACACTTCCTTTGTATATTCAGTAGGAGCCTCCCTAATTCCCTGCTGTGCACCTCAGCAAGAATAATGGCTTAATCCTTTATGAAGCATCCTCCCTGGTACTGGAAACAAAAGCTTCTGTGCAGTACTGCAAGATGTAATAACAGATTGTCCAAGTTAATTGAACAAATGACATGTTTATTGTATGTTTTGGATCTGAGGCTTTTCCTTTATTCAGTAGTTTTTTTGCTATAAACTTTTTGAAATAAATACTGAAATAATACAGTTGTTGTTACTGCATCAGATCTGCTCCTCCCATTTCTGATGAGGAAAAGCCAAAAGTTTATCCAGAATTGCCACATTTGGTGTTATTAAAATACTAGTTTTGATTCTGTACTTTTTTAATATTGCAGAGAAGCAATAAAGGGGATTTCTTGGGTTCCTTTCCTAGTTCATCTTTACAAATACGTGTTGTAATCCATTCAGACTTCACCATTACTTACTTGACGTTGCGGGGGGCTTGTTTGGATGTTTGTTTCAGAGATCATCCGTGTTGGTGACAACAAGAAGGTCCATCAGATTGAGCTGATCCCGAGCGAGCAGCTCATTGCCGTGATCTCAGGACGGAACCGTCACGTGCGGCTCTTCCCCATGGCTGCCCTGGACGGCAGGGAGACGGAGTTCTATAAGCTGGCCGAGACCAAAGGCTGCCAGTCTATAGTTTCTGGACACGTGCGCCACGGAGCTCTCACCTGCCTGTGCGTAGCCATGAAAAGGCAGGTGCTCTGCTATGAACTCAATCAGAGCAAGACACGCCACAAAAAGATCAAGGAGATCCAGGTGCAGGGGAACGTCCAGTGGATGTCCATCTTCAGTGACCGTCTCTGCGTAGGCTACCAGTCAGGTTTCCTAAAGTACCCCCTCCATGGAGAGGGCAGCCCGTACAGCCTGCTCCATCCGGACGACCACACGCTCTCGTTTCTCTCACAGCAGCCAACTGATGCCATCTGTGCAGTCGAGATCTCAAATAAAGAATACCTGCTGTGTTTTAGCAGCGTCGGTGTTTACGTCGACTGCCAGGGCCGAAGATCCAGGCAACAAGAGTTGATGTGGCCGGCAACTCCATCTTCTTGCTGTGAGTTGTGCTCTCTGTGCCTGTGTCTGTGTCTTTGCTGCTGTCCACTAAAGTCATCTCTGCTTGTGTTGATACCCACAGGAGGTGAAGGTCAGGGCTAATTACCTGACAGGTTAATGAATGCTCTCGGCCCCGTCACCATTTTTAATCTAGTCAGAGGGTTTAATCCTCATTTATGCTAGTTTCAACAACTCTGGTGCTGACCTGTACTTGCTGGAACACAAAGAGGAATCGTGAGTCAGGATTTCTAACTCTAAAACAGCCAAAAGTTTCAGGTTCAACAGAGGCTAATGGGAACTTTATGTATTTGCTACCACTGGATTGTTGTTATTTAAAGTCTTGGAATGTGATTGTACTTTGCCTCAGCATTGTGGTTCCAGCTTTCTTCATGCTGAGAATCATCAGGATCTGGTAGTTTGACTCGCTTTTCTCTAATGGTGTTTGTTCCTACATACTGGTCTGTTTTGTCCTTTTTTTCTTTATTTGTTCATTCTTTCTTCTTCAGCAGTTTTTTGCAACAACATTCTTATTCATCTCCTCTCTACTTTTTCAAAAAGTCACTTTCTAAGTTTCCCTTCTGTCTCTCTCTTCTCTTCCAAAATACAATGCTTAGCAGGCAGTATAAAAATATATATTTCATAACCTTAAGGAAAAATGCTGTAATTTTCCAAAGTTTTCATTTCCACCAAGGTCGGTTAAACATTTATTGCACCTTATTTCAAAGCTGGGGCTTTATCTCTGTGACAGTTTCAAGGAAAAAGAAACCAAGCCTGAATGTCTATCTTCTTCTTTTTAAAGTCTTTTTGAATGCAGATAAAGATTAGCCAAATCTGCACTCAGAGTAGTGAATGAGCCCAGTTCTATGTTGATTTTTAGAATAGTCTCCCTTCTTACCTCACTCTGGCAGCAGTCCAGTCACACTGTAAAGGGAGGAGTATTTCACCTTGCTTGAGTGAAGGCCCTTCTGAATACGGAGGGAGCAACATTTACAGGGTGTTTGCCACTTCTGGATTTCAGGCAATTTTACACAATTGATTATTGATTCAGACAGTGAATGAATCAAAGCAGAAGGTTATGTGATAGATTGAAAAATGTGTATTTTTCACACGTAGTTCATCTGTATGTTATTTGTGACAGTTTTTTGATTGCCTGAAATGATTTGATGTAACTCCAACTCAGAATGGAGGTGTATTTTATAGCAAAAGCTGTTACATTTAAACACAGCTTGGATGCTGTTGTTAGTCTTGGCAGACTATGGCAGTCTTGTTGCCCACATGGAAATACTGAGTTCTCCTTTAGAGGTGGTCCCAGTGAAACAAATTTCATCCTGGGGAAATGTGCCAGATAAGTAGCAGAAGATTTCTCTTTACAAACCAGAAAATGAGAAGAGAGAATTAAAGTTAAGGAAACATGACTTTTATGACTGTGTCATGGTGCTTAGTACCAAATGATGCTGATTTAGTGCATAGTCCAAAGACTCAGAGCTCAGTTCATTCAAGTGACAGCTATTAAATAGAGCAGTGTATTTTCCTACCACATCATTTACAATATGTGAGCTCTTATTAAAAATGGGGCTTTAAAGAGGAAAAAACCTTTGAAATACGTTAGTATTTGGCAGAGTAAACCTTAATGTCTTAAAATTCAGAAAGTAGTTAGGTTTTCAGCAAAGTTAAAAGTCATGGAGGCTGTAAGTTTTTGGGTGATACTGGTTTGCCTTCAGAATAAATTTCTTGGTCATTTTTGAGTTAAAGCACATTTTTCAAAGCTTATTGTTGGATTGTGGCGCTCTGGTTTTGTTTTCTTAAATAAATATGGTTAAAGTAATAGGGTAAGAAATTGTCTATTTTGGGCCATGTCTAAAAGCACATGACACAATACCTTATCATTCCCTCCCAGGTTACAATGCACCATACCTCTCTGTGTACAGTGAAAATGCAATTGATATCTTCGACGTGAACTCCATGGAGTGGATTCAAACTATTCCTCTCAAAAAGGTAACTTCCCATTTCAGTATGGGCCAAGGAATAGTGTCCAGACTGAATACTGCTTTAGAAGCCATCATTGAAACTGCTTGTGGAAACATAATTGAATTAAAAGATGAGCTACTGCAAAGAAATGCGTGCGTTTTTTGTTGGAAATAGAAGATACAAAATGTGCTTTTCACATGGTTGCACTGTTTAGATGAATGGTCAGTCCGGAGCATATGACTATGTTAGATTTACTGTTGCTGTTGTAATAATGAGAGGAATTAATTGGTATTAATTACATATGGCTTCATTGGGACTGATTGTGTCGATGTTATTACCAGAGGATGGTGTATGTTAGCATAATTAAATAGGCCTTCAGAAATCTATCTCCTGCTGCTCGAGCATACTGTAGACAGACAGGGTTAGAACATTTTGTTTTAACCAGCAGAAACACCAAAAACAGGATGATGTCAGGTTTGGATCTTTTATCAAAAGGAAGATGTTTCTGAAAACTGAGACTTCCTTGGTATTTAGAAGGTGTTTGCTCAGCTGTATTTGGAAAAGAAAGAGAAAAGTCAGGTTTTTTCCCTGTGGTTTAGGCTGACTTCAGCTTTGTATCAGGGTCAACACAATTCCTTACTGGCATTCCAGTGACAGAGCTGCAGGACATTGCCCCTGTGATCTTGTGTTGATCATTCAGTCTCTGCATATCAATTTCCCACACGTCAGATGCAGACCAGGATATTCTGGCAGTGCTGTGAGGATACATAATGCAAAGATCAAGATGCTCAGCTATTGATTGTTTTAAGGGGAGACCAATCTGGACTTTTATGGGAAAGTTCTTCCTTTGAGTTATTAAGCAGTTGGAGCATTTTTTTTCCCTACACAGTAGAAAGTGATTTAGTGCTTTGATTAGTATTTGGCTCAAGACTTCCCTTTTAATGGATGAAACTACTTTCAGCAAACAAAATTACTACACTTGGGCATCTCAAAAATGGCCATTTATTATGAAGAGTCTGTTTCTAACACAATTTACAGAGTGTGGAATGCTTCTTTCATTTTTATGTTGGAAATCACAAATACCAGTAGGTTTTAGCAGTCTGCTTGTGCTCTTATCAAGCTGCAGAGCATTATTGTGACATGGTACTAACACAAAGTAAAAGCTCAGCTTATTGCTTTGTACATCTAATAGAAAAAATTGAGTTGATATGTGAGGTAGACTTTTTAACACAATTATTCATTTAAATGCTGGGAGGAATGGTGTTAAGCCTTTGTCTTAAAGTGGAATTTTAAGCAACCCTCTCTGTACTCATTCTCAAAAAAAAGAGTTTAAAATTATTTTGAACTCTTCTTAGTGGCTTTAGTGACTTGGAATTGTTACTCTTGAGAGTATTACAAGGACTGTTATTCCTTGTTTCAGGTACGACCCTTGAATACAGAAGGATCACTAAACCTTTTAGGCCTGGAGACAGTCAGATTAATATATTTCAAAAACAAAATGGCAGGTAAGTAGAGAAAAGCCAATTTTCATCATGCACATTTTTGTTTAGAAAGAGCATTTTTCTTTGTCTGCATCTGTGCATTGCAGAAAGGGATCTCTCAAACGTCTGTGTGCTTGTTAACTTGGGAAGAAGCAAAAGCTTATGGGTTCCACAGTGAGTGCAATGGTGTCTCTGCTCTGAATTTTTTTTTTTAACTTTTGAATATTCAAGGAAGACTTGAATGAAGACTGGAACTAGAAACTAGAATGACTGGGTGCTCCCTGCAAGCGTGGGATCACCTGCCAGAACGCTGTCTAAAAAAGCCTACACAATTAAAGGCTTAAATAGTTATTTTGGCTGCACTAGATTAAAATCAATACCATATTTAACGTAAACAAATGTTTCCCAAGATTTTAAAGTAATATGGTGTATCCATAACTTATTATTAGGGCCAGCTATGACTGTGTGCCACAATTTTAGCTTCAAAAATCAATTTTTGCTGCAAGTCTTTCTGACTTTTTACTTTTTGGAGCCCATTTCATAAGCATGCTCCTGAGGAATTTCCTTCAACTTCTGTTTAACCTCTTAGGTGGAGAGAGGACATGCTCCATTTCAACAACCAAAAGCTATAAATTTTTGTTAACAACTTTCTGAAAACAGTGCAAATGAACACTCTAGAAAAATGTACAGCTGCTGGCACTGTTTCAGTGCTTATTTAAATTGCCAGCAAATTAGTACGAAAGGAATGGCAGTGGTAGAGAGGAGAAATATACTGGATGTATGTATAGAGAATTTTCTTGTCTAATAAAGACTGAACATTAGAGTTGATCTTAAGGAAAGAAGAGATTTGAGTTCCATACAAAAACTGTTTTGTCAGTGAGCAGTAGCTTATGAAGTGTCACTTTAGTCTCCATGTATAGAAAACAAGACAGAAGTTGCAACATTCATTCAACGTCACACAGCTGTTGTGTGATTATCACTGTTTTCATATCTTTAGTAAAGTTCTCTTGGCCTGATGTACACACATGGAAAAAAATCTTCCCTTTTCCCACAGTTGGATCAAAGTACATCAGTGTTCAAACATTTTGAGAGCAATATTCTCTTTGGAGCAGGAAATGAATGAAAGAGAATCTTCCATTCAGTTTCCAGACAGCTGGCAGAACATGACTCTTCTAGTGATTTTCAATGAGAACTGCCAAGGGAATTTTGAAACAAGACTAAGATTCCCTTCCTGCCCACCAAAATGTTTATTTCAAGGAATGCATCAGAGGTGTTTTGAGAACACAGGTGTGGCAGCTCATGTGTGAAGAAGGGCTAAGTCTGTTGCTACATAACAGAGTAGTAGATAGTGGCCAAGGAAACCCATAAACCAAAGAACGTTTGTTCAGGTTTGGTGGGAAAGAGGTAGTGTCCAACACTAGCAGAGCAGAGGTAGAAAGAGTGTTGAAACTCAAATTCCATGAATACCTAAGGAAATGTCCCACTGCATGCCCATCTTTGTGCTGGTTTCAGAGGGGGATGAGCTGGTGGTGCCGGAGACATCAGACAACAGCCGGAAGCAGATGGTTCGGAACATCAACAACAAGCGCCGCTACTCCTTCCGTGTGCCCGAGGAGGAGAGGATGCAGCAGAGGAGGTCTGTATTCCACCTGTACTTGTCTTCTGTCCATGCCTGTAGGCCCTGACGGACACTGACTGATGCCAGGGTCGTGCTTCATGTGTGGCTTTCTGGAATGTCCATTCAAGTGTTCCTGTCTCTTCTCTATCCTGTTAATCCTCTGTGTTAACTTGTGTTGATACCGGTTTGGATATGGATATGGATATGGATATGCACTGGATGCACCATTAGTTCAGATGAATTATGTGAAACAGCTGTAATTTGGAATGCATGCCTCCACATACTGTATGCAGGTGCATAGGTGTGCACATACACTGTGTATATATAAAATTCTCCAATAAACACTTTGCAAAAGGAGATTACTTTGCTAACTATGCATATGGATTAATTTCTCTCAGACTCTGGTTCTGCTTTTCTTTCTGAAGGATATCCTCCTCTCAGCAGTATTCCAGGACATCTGTTTCTTTGATTTATAGATTTAACTACATAAAGTTTCTATAAATCTCACAAAACTCACCACTTCGGGGGGCATAGGACTTCAGGGTGTATTTCTGTTGGGAGTATTTAGCAGGTTACAAATACTTTCCTAAATGGCAGCAAAAACAGGTCACAGAGGATGTTATTGACCTTTTGCTGTCACTCACTAGAAGTGACCTGCTGCTGTGCTAAGCCACACTCCAAGAACTGAGTATTTCACTTTTCTAATTTCCAACATCTTGCACCATTGGTTGGCTCCCAGTTTGTCTTTCTTTTTGGCTCTACGGAAAGTAACAGCTGTATGCAGTGGAGAAAAAAAATCCATTTCTTGTTCTTGCCTTTTCTGAGTTGATTGACATTTGGTCTCTTTAAAATTTTATTTATTCTGAATTCTGAAATGCATCCTTGCCATTTTGAAGAGCTTTTAATTCTGACCACAGACTGAGAAAGGTACTGCAGTATTATTTTAATTCTATTTTCATATTTTATACTTCATTTTCATCTCCACTTTGTAATGTAAGTTTGACTTTTACTCATCTTACAGAGCTTTTTATCAGCTCATTCTGTGAATGTTAAGAACTACTGGGCACAGGCTGTTAGGCTGCAAACAGCATTCTTTTATCCTGGTCCCTTGCCCTCTCTTCAAGCTGGAACCTTCTCCACACCAGTACTGACAGCAGGGGTTTATCATAGTTAACATGGTTAAATAGAGTCACAGACTCATGGAATTGTTTAGGTTGGAAAAGACTGGTTAATTTTAATTTTAAAATAGCTGATAATCAAAGCTGTACGTGTTTTATAAATGCCCATCCTCAGCTAATTATTAGGAAATACCTAAACAAAGTATCTTCTCTTCCAGGGAGATGCTACGTGATCCAGAAATGAGAAATAAGTTAATTTCTAACCCAACTAATTTTAACCACATAGCACATATGGGTCCAGGAGATGGCATACAGATTCTCAAAGACCTCCCAATGGTAAGTACAAAAGGATATGTGAGAGTGACCGACTGCTGCCGAGGCTGAAAATAAGTGAGAGAAAAACAAGTGCAATTTCAATGTGTAATCAGTGATGTATTTCCTATCAGGAACAGTGTCATGAGGGGAATGGAGCTAAAAATGCTCTGCTATATGTAATAAAATTTAAGCAAGGAGCATGATAGGCTTTTAGTAGAGGAGGAGTGCCTAATGCCTCTGGAGAATTTTAAGACAGGTTGGCCTTGCAGTGTTGATGATAATTTTTATGACCCATATGAAGGGGCAAAATTTACATTATTTGGGCCTGTGCTCTTTTTTGATATGGAAAGAGAAACTCCATTCTCTGTGAACTGTATTTCAATTCCCTTTTTCTTCTCCCATCTTTAGCACCAATTTAGCCTATTTCTTCACAGCCTGTTTTCCTGTAGCAATTCAATAATGTGTGCTGCTCAAATTTCTTTCCATGCCAAACATGCTATCTCTCCTTTTATCTCCAAATTAAATAGTCTCAGTGAAACAGAACTTCTTGCAGAACTTTAAACTAACCTTTTAAGTTTAAAAATGGAGAAAGAAAATGTGTAATAGCACATGTTCATTTCCATAAAACCTCCTGTAGGAAATAATCACTTGGAAGTTACTGAAATCTGTGATAAGCTAAAGACTAATTAATACTTGGCTCACAAGGAAGTAGCATACTGCTTGCTTCAAGCTACCTTGAGCATCTTTTGTGTGTTTATGTGTTCTGTATTGTTTTCTAAGCACATCTGCAGTGATACAGAAGATGCTAATTAGCACTGTAAGAAAGATGAGATGTGATAAAAACAGATGCAATTTGTTCCAGCATAGAGCTCAGGCATTAGCACAGAACAGCTGTCTAAAATGATCATCGTTACTACTTGGAGTTTGTGCAGAAAGCAGGAAGTAGATGCTCAAATTGGGATTTTCTGATGCTGAAAAATGAAAAGGGAACAAAAATAAGACTGACAAAGAAAGTGCAACGCGCAGTTACACTAGTTTAGGAGCTCAGGAACCTAGTCTCTGGTCTATGGATACTCATTTTACCTCACTTTTGAAGCAAATTGTATTTTATGTTGCACTTGACTGTAAAGTCTGCAGCTTGATTTATTTTAAAGCTCGTATTAGACACAGTCTGAGAAGCCTCTCAATAACAAATATATTTGGTGTAATGAGAAAAAACAGTACTGTATGTGTGTATTTTTATAAATGATAACAATTTTTATAAATGAACACATAATGAAGGAACTGTTTCTAAGAAGTACATGACAAATCTAAGAGATGTTGGCAGGTATGTTTTTCTCTTACATGGATACAAGATTGCATGTGTCTAATGTTAGAGAACGATCATTTGCTTCAGGACAGGATGTACATTAGAGCCTTTCTTAATTTCTCCATTTCTGGTAAGTTCTTCAAAATATTTGTGGCACTTCTTAAGCAGGGAAAATAATCTGCTGCCCCTACAAACAGAGCAAAAGTCATCCTGTGTCACACCATCAGTAGTTGAAAGTTCATGGCAATCAAAAGCTACAAGGACTCTTAATCAAGCCCCACATCTGACAAGTGTAAAACAAAGAATGATTCTATCTATAGAAGGGGGTTTTTTTACATAATTTCTTCAACAGTGTCATCTCTCAATGGCTTTCAGCTTTGAATCCATTCTAATTGCACTTGCCTTGTATTAGCTCACAGGTCCTGTTTCAAGTTAGGACTGGTACTGTGCTATTACCAATCAATATGATGCTTTGAAAAAATTAATGAGTCACTTTCCACACTTAAGAGTGATGAGAAGAATTAGAAAATGTGTACAATTGTTGATTCCTGCACTTGTTCCACTGCTGCAGCTTCTTTTTTAAAAGTTATTATTAAAACCTCCTTTTTGCAAGTAAGTATCAATCTTAATGCTGGGATATATCACTGCAAGACAAAGCAAATTTGTTGTGTATTTTTCCATCAGTTCCTTGCAATGTCATGTTGTATTTGTATTCCTGACTTAATTGGTACAGAATTGCATCGAGCATGGGACTTGAAAGCATGTGAATTTGAAAATGTAAATTGAAATTAGGAAATAAATGTTCTGTCAAGAGCTACTTCAGTCGAGGCAGCTTTTTCTTTTCCAGCAGCTTCCTGCAAGGTATTTGCCTGGACTGAGTTCTCATTTAATCCATTCCAGACTAAGAACTTTGTTTCTCAGGCACAAAAATAGAAGAAAAGGAGTTGTGTGGGTATTTGAGGTTATATATAGAGTTTAACGTTTTATTGGAAAGAAATTTAAAATCAGAAGAGGGCATGGAAACAGAGGATGTTTCCTGGAAGAATCAGTACACAAGATAAGGAATAATCATCCAATGCTGTGTACAGTTCATCTGTATGGTGGTTCATTTTCCAGTACATGGAATTATTTCACCAGTTTCATACCTTATTCCCAAAAGTTGAAAAGCTGGGGGATTTCTGTGCTGCTAAGTGTGTGTCCTGGTTTTGCAGCTGGAACATCACCTTTGTATTTTTTAATAGATTGACGTGGTTCAGAAGAGGAAGTATTTATTTTTAACAAACTTTGGGAAAGATTGCAGCACTTTATTTTGGGAATGCCTGTTCTTGTTTGTGGAAGTGAATGGTAAAATACATTTTTGGGACTGAGGCTGGGGGTAGCAAGCAGTGTATAGTCTTCTCAAGTTTTCTTCCTCCAGCTATTTTAGGTGGTAGAACTTCTGTTTTTATGGGATACTGGAATGCAGAAAGTGCGTGAAAGAGTGGAGTGGGGATTTTCATTTGCAGTTTCTTCTGGTTTTTTTGAGCACCTTCCAATTTGGCTGGATATACCAATAGAAATTTTTCACCCAGCATGAGCTTTGACTGAAGTCAGTTTGGTGCTGTATGGCCAAAAAGGTCCTTAGGTATAAATAGGTTTGAATAGAGAATAGATGTTTTAATCTCTGTGTTGAATGAGATTGTCACAAGCTAAATAGCCAATTCAGCCCAGCTTTTATCCAGCACACGTGGGTGAACTTTATAAAGCAAATGACAGTTTTGTATATCTGTATGTGTATTTATTCCTTGTATATATTTATTAACTGATATACACATATTCACTTCATAGATGCAGTGGGAATGAGAAAAAAACTAATCTCTTCAACCCCACTGCCTTTTTTAGGGAAAATGCCAGGAACTGAGAGAAGCAGAGTTAGAATTGGTAGTGCTGGCCCTTGATGGGTGGGCTGGGCTGTGTCTGTGGACAGGAGGGGACCTGCACTTGTGCTGCCCTAAGCCTGGCCTGGTAGTGCAGAGCCTTCCCTCTCTCTGCCCACCACTGTTTAAATGATGTCTTTTAAAAAACTGGCTATAGGGAGTTCAATTTGTGTTGTAACTGGGATAAAGGGAGTGTTTTAAACTCTTTTGCACTATTTGATGTATTGTGTACAACATATCTACCTGTTTGTTTGGCCTTGCTGGTGCAGCCACACGAGTGGGAAAGATGCTTTCTCTATGTGTTGTTTTCCAGTGTTTTCCTTTTTTCTTGGTATGCACCAGACACTCTGGTGTGTTTGTGGGAAGTTGCAGTCTATTGGCCTAGTCCCACATTGTTCTCTCCATGAACACACACCCTTGACTTCAGTAGAGCCCTGGTGTTTGGGCAGAACCATGCCCAAGGCTCAGAGAGAGATCAGATTTAGGAGCTTGCAGGCAACTGTAAATTTGCATCCTTCTTTTCTTCGTGGTGAGCACTCACGGTCTGGCTTTGGCACACAAGTTTGTGAGCTGCAACACAACAGAAACCAGAAGCTGTTGTTTCCTATTAGCAGAGCAGTAATCAGTACATATTTGTGTTTTATTGCTGTGCATCTGGGTCATTGTCTTGTTCTGTGCAATTTAGAATCGTTCCTGTTAGTGTATCCCCAAACTTATTTGTTTACATGTTTTTCTTCCCTAGCAGCCTGTCACCAATTAACCTGGCCGTACAGTCTGGCCTCCCTTCTGCCCTCTTGTCCCTTGAAGCCACTTTATCGTGGATGCTCCTTTGTAGTGAAGATCTGAAATCTGGAACTGCACTTACTGCAGCACAGACCACCTCTCTGTGTACATCAGATGTACAGGATTGATTTTGCTTTCATATTCTGCATGCCTAAGTATTTTTATATACAAAAGCTGGTCTTGACTGCCATTATATTTGAACATTATGCTTCAGTTTGACCTCATTATACATGAGCCATTCTACTTCCATTCTAGATGATGTGTGAAGCTTTGCTTGTTTCAATTGAGAAACTTTTAGAGTAAATGAATATTTATCTATATTTGGTATTCTTTAAAGAAAATGGGAACCCCATGCATGCATCTAATGGTGGAGTCTATGGAGAAAGTTCCATGGAGTATCATTTTTAAAATGTTGCCATATCGTGGCTTTCTCACATTCATGAATGCTGGCTAAATATTTTCATGATCTGCAGCTGGCCTACCCTCTGCTTTTTAGCTTGTGGTTTTAGACACTGCCATATCTCCCTTATTGGCTTTTAGGAATGTTGCTGGCTTTGCTGCCAGTTCTCTGTTGTGAGCAGAGACCTCAGCAAAGTCTGCTGCCCTGGACCATTTTGGAATGGTGGCTTCTCATACTGATATTTAGATGCTGCTAAAGTTACTAAGAACAATTTAATGTATATTATGTCTTATATGCCATAATGTGGTAATTGATGTTTTGGTTAACAGGCAAAGCCTCATAATAACCTTGTGTTAAAAAAAAAAAAAAAAAAAAAGTTGGATTTTACCAGCTGAAATGAAGAGAACAGTAACAATAATGTTTGATATAATATGTATTGGGATGTGACTTAATGTTCTTCCAGACTTTAATACTTTCCACATACAAAAAGTAGTGCCTTAGGTTTAGTGGAGGGGTAAACTATATTTTTACCATATTTTATATTTTAATTCCTAACATTTCTAATGTTACTCAGAAATACCTGTTTTAAGGAGATGAAATCAGTTAGATGAGG